TCCTGAGCTCAAGCAATTCTCCTGCCTTGGCCTCCCAGGGTGCTAGGATTACAGGCGTGAGGCACCACGCCCAGCAGAAAGGCTATTAAAATACTTCTCCCTTTCCAACTACGTGTCTGTTTATGGCTTGATTTTCTGTATACTTTACCCAAAACAATAAATTGCCACACATTGAATGCAGAAGCAGACGTAAGAATCCAGCATTGTTCTACTAAGCCAGATGATGAAGAGATTTACAAAAATGTAAAATAATCCACTTTTCTCAATAAACTTGTTTTATTTTGGAAAATTATTTCATTAAAAATATATTGTTTACATTAACATTGTAATGGGCATATTACTGTTTTTAAGTAAAATAATAAATATTTAATTTTTTTAGTTTTAATTTCTAATATGATGAATGTCATTAGACATCTACATAAATAAAAGCTCTTTGAGGCCCTCAATGATTTTTAAGACCATAAGGAATCCTGAGACCAAAAAAATTGAGACCCACTGGTCAGGATGTGATTTTTCTGAAACCAATTAATTACACACAGGTTATTTGGCACTTTCAGAGAAAAAGTGATAGTAATTTTATCCCCAAACATTTTTAAAGAATTAATGTAAACGTAATGAATAGAGCTTTAGTGTTCATACAGTATCTGGGTTTGTATGTGTTAGTAAGTGATGTGATTTGCACTAACAGCCAAAAATAGAGAAGTATAAATGTGAAATGTAGTGGTAGATGACTGACTAGCAACTATTTTATTGGACTTGCAGTGCATTCGCTCCTGTCTCCAAAAGATTGTCTTCTATGAAACTTTGTCAAATTGTTACAGAAAGCCATGTAACAAAGTACAGTGATAACCTTAGCAAGCCAGATTTTTCTGGAAGGGTCATACAATACTTTCTAGGATGAAAGTGATGAAGTTTGTCACTAAAGATGGGGAAGAAACCAAAACTACTAAGGCATCATTCAGTTACGTAGCAGAAATGGTTATATCACACCTTTAGCAAGAAGCTTGTGTAACCAGCCAAAAAGCTGAGAAGTTTTATGTTTTCAGAAGAAGCTACTGGTAGAATTTACTGTATCATATGATGCCGTTGGACATTATCTGTGGTATACAAGGTGAATGATTAATGCTGCTGTTTTTATGAAATATGAAACAGCAAGTGTTCCACATTATGATGATTCAAACTGAGTATGTATGCTCTAAGCTTATATGCAGAACACATATGAAAAACAAAGTATTCATTGTTTCTCTTCTATCATTGTTAAAAAATTCTATGCTACAGGTAATCCATTTTGTTATTTTCCTAGCTGTGACATAAACCAGAAAAGGAAGGGACATTGGGGTCAGTGCTGAGGGGGCATCAGCTGTATGTGCAGTAAAAATGATGTTATAATCTAAATAAAAAGAAATTTACCCCCACCCCCAGCCTCTAAGCCTCTTCCCAGAGAACAGATAGCAGACAGAGTGTGCCTCCAGATCTTGATTGAGACTTTAATTAGAACAGGGGTCAGCAAATTAAGGCTCTTGGGCCAGATTTGCCAGCCCCATTGCTCATTTTTTTACGACTAGTGAGCAAACAATGGTTTTAATGTTTTTAAATGGCTGGGGAAAATATCAAAAGAATGGTGTTGTGACACATGAAAATTATTTGAAGTTCGAATTTCAATGTCCATAAATAAACTTTTATTGGGACGTAACCACACTCATTGGTTTACGTATTGTCTGTGTCTGCTTTCTCACTATAGCAGCAGACTTGATTAGTTGTGACAGAGACCATATGGCCTGCAAAGTCTAAAATATTTACTATCTGGCCTTTTACAGAAAAAGGTTTCTGACCCTAAGTTAGAGTAACTCCACTTTGATCCGTCTTATTTATTGTTCTTCCCCCATGGGAGTTCATTTGAAGAAAGAGTTCTACTGCCTCAAAAACGAATTTTTTTCTTAAAGTATGTAAACTTTGCAAAAGGTCAGCCCAAACAAATGAACTAGCGTTCTTGTTCTTTTGTCACCCTGGGAGCAGGGTCGGGTGAGGGTCACAGTTCAATTTAAAAATACAGATTAATTCAAGGCAATATTTGAATATATACTATGGGTGATATAGAGATTAACCATTTTTTGCCACCAGGGATTTAAAATCTGGTGGAGGTATGAGAAAGATATGCCTTCTTATAATTTTTAAAATATTTTTCTTAAAAAAGATTAAATGTAGCTTTTGATTCAATCTTGTTTTCTCAGATTGATACCCAGCAAATTGCTACCAGTCTAGCAAATTACCACTCTTTCTCATTCTTCTGAATGTAAGAATATATCCCCTAAAAGTCATTGTCTAATTTGGCTGTCTCTCCTCTCCATAGCATCCAGTACATCCCTGTCATTGTTAACTTGCTTAGTGACTTTATACTAAACTATAACTAAGTTTTTTGCTGTCTTCCTCACTAGACACAGGGGGAACTGTTTCTTATTTTAGGTAGCGTAGTATATATTTCAGAGTGTTGGCTTTGGAGTCAGACTTCTCGGTCAATCCTCTTTGTCCTGCTTTCTCTAACTGAGTGAATCTCTTTCCTCATCTATGAAATGGAAATAACAATAATAATGATGATGATGATAATCATAATACCATTTAGGGTTTGTTTTGAACCTTAACTGAGATGATGCTGGTAAAATACTTAATTGAGATTTTGCCATGTGGTATTTTGTTAGATGTGTTGTTGGGTTTTTGTTGTTGTTGCTGTTACATCTCTAACACCTAACATACAGTATTTTTGAAGATTTAAATATTTTGTTCAATGGAACCAAGATTTATTTTTAAACATGTTACCAGCTTTGTGCTTTAGAGAAAGTTGAAAGTTAAAATTAAAGCTTGCTATTTATCCAGAGAGTTATCGAGTAGATTTACCTCAGTGATGTTGATATTTCTTTCTGATGGGGTTGGAATGATTGGGCATGGGGGACTGTTCCAAAAACCTGTGCTCTTTCCACATAGCTTATATATAGTTAAAAGTGTAAACTGAGTGCTTACTATGTGCCAGAGACTATTGTAATGCTATATGTTAATTTAGTTTTCATAAGAACTCTTTTGAATTAAGTGTTATTATTACTCCCATTTTTAGATGAGACAGCAGAAGCACAGAAAGATTATAAATTGCCATAGATTACTTAGTTAGTAAGAGGCAGGGTTGAGATTTAAACCTATTTGCCTCCCGAGTTTGTGTTCTTAACCACTATGTTCTAATGCTTTTATTAGCCATACTGTCTATCATTTGCCATATGCTTATATGTGAGATATAGCTTATCTAAGGTAACTTTCTTGAAGAGTTTTATGTTTGTTCACAGTGCTGAGCATATGGTAGAATCAATACATATTTGTGCTTGAATAAATTCATAAGTATGATGGTATGATAAAGTTAAATTAATATAATACAATCATTGTTTAATTCTTCTTGGTTTTGAGTAATAACTATTTTTCACTCTAGATCTTCTTAGGAGCTTTCTATAGCCAGCATTGGCTATTTTGAAGCAGTCTACTCTAACACTACAAAAATTTGGGCAAAGTAATTGCTTAACAATCTATTTATATTCCTAAATCCATTTTTTCTTGCTGGTACTCACTCAAAAAAATCTTGTGTGTTTCTTTTATAGAGTTTTTCCATTTTGGGGCACTCTGTTGAATTGTTTGTTGATTTATTTGTGTTAAATGGCATCTTAGTGTTTGTTTATTTATTTCAATAGATTTAGGGGTCACAAGTGTTTTTTATTACGTGGATGGATTGTATAATGCTGAAGTCAGGGCTCTGGTGTACCTGTCACGAGAATAGTGTACATTGTACCCAATAGGTAGATTTTTATCCCTCATCCCTGTCAGCCTACCCACTTCTTAGTTTTCAATGCCCATTACACTGCTTTATGATCATATATACCCATCATTTAACTCCCACTTATAAGTGAGAACATGTGATATTTGTTTTTCCATTCCTGAAATACTTCACTTAGGATAATGTTCTCCATTCCCATCCAAGTTGCTGTAAAAGACATTGTTTCATTCCTTTTATGGCTGAGTAGTACTCCATGGTGTACATATACCACATTTTCTTTAACCACTTATCAGGTGATGATCAACCTGACTCTATATCCTTGCAATTGTGAATTGTGCTGTGATAAATATTCAGGTGCAGGTATCTTTTCTTATAAAATGACTTCTTTTCCTTTAGGTAGATAGCCAGTAGTGGGATTGCTGGATCAAATGGTAGGTCTACTTTTATTTCTTTGAGGAATTTCCAGACTGTTTTCCACAGAGGTTGTACTCGTTTACATTCCCACCAACAGTGTGTAAGTGTTTTCTTTTTTTTTTTTTTTTGAGACAGAGTCTCACTCTTTTGCCTGGGCTAGAGTGAGTGCCGTGGCATCAGCCTAGCTCACAGCAACCTCAAACTCCTGAGCTCAAGTGATCCTTTTGCCTCAGCCTCCCGAGTAGCTGGGACTACAGGCATGCGCCACCATGCCCGGCTGATTTTTTCTGTGTATTTTTAGTTGTCTGATTAATTTCTTTCTAATTTTTAGTAGAGACGGGGTCTCGTTCTTGCTCAAGGTGATTTCGAACTCCTGAGCTCAAGCAATCCACCTGCCTCGGCCTCCCAGAGTGCTAAGATTACAGGCATGAGCCACTGCGCCCGGCCTGTGTTTTCTTTTTTCACTGCATCTGCATCAACATCTATTGTTTTTTGACTTTTTAATAATTGCCATTCTTACAGGGGTAAGGTAGTATCTCATTGTGATTTTAATTTACATTTCCCTCATGATTAGTGATGTTGAGCATATTTTCATGTTTTTTGGTCATTAAATGGCATTGTATTGTAACAGATAATTCAATTCTTATAGAAGAAACCTTAAATAAATTGGATTATACTAGTCATGATAGTGAAGTTTAATATTGAATTTGGCCTCTAACTAAAACTTTTGAAATAACAACAATCTTGAAATTTGCTGTATTTTATATGTCTCTTTCAGAATTCTCCACTTTACCAGTACTTGCAGGATCTTGGACACACAGACTTTGAAATATGTTCTTCTTTGTCACCAAAAACAGAAAAGTGCATGGCAGAGGGACAACAAAAGCCTCCTTCAAGAGTCCTGCCAAAAGTAAGAAAGCATGCTCATTCTTTATGGTTTAATCTTTTGTTCTTTACCTTACTGACTATTCAAACTGCTTTTTCCCTTACGCTTGTAAAAAAACAAAAACAAAAAAAAAAGCACCTCATAAGCACCTTCCTGACCTTCCTCACACTGGACTTTATCTTACTTTATCAATTGTCTGTTTAGATAAACATGAAGCCTTGCTGCTTGGGAATATTTTGTGGGTAATTTGTATCTGGTAAGGAAATTAATATGGTTGAGAATTAAAATATATTATTTGCTTAAATATTGACATTATCCAGAGGGAATCAGGAAAGTATAATAAAACTTTAATGGAACTCAACTAATAGGAATCCTATATTAACTGGAATTTTTTTTCTTTAAATCTTTTTTTGAAAGAGCACAAATTATAAGAAAGGAAACTGATATTTCTTAAACACAGTTTCAAGGGTATGTAATGGAGTGTGGGTATATTTTACTTCAATTTTTAATGCCTTTTATATCTACAGAATTATATATTTTTATATAATAAATATCTCATAATTGATGTCCAGCATTGTGAGGCTGTGATATTAGGAGAATATCCATTATGTTCTATAAAATACATTCAATAGATTCATTTATGTTCTGTTAGCCATATTTACTAAAATAAGAAAATATTCTAGTACATTTCAGTATTAACCAAAGGAATTCTAATTAATAGAAAAAAAAACCCCAGATTTCCTCATTCTTTGAGGAGTGAAATCTGGATTCTAGAGTGAGTGCCGTGGCGTCAGCGTAGCTCACAGCAACCTCAAACTACTGGGCTCAAGCGATCCTCCTGACTCAGCCTCCAGAGTAGCTGGAACTACAGGCGTGCACACCATGCCCGGCTAATTTTAGCTGCCTGGCTAATTACTTTCTATTTTTAGTAGAGACAGGATCTTGCTCTTGCTGAGGTTGGTTTCAAACTCCTGACCTCAAGTGATCCTCCTGCCTCGGCCTCCCAGAATGCTAGGATTACAGGCATGAACCACCATGCCCAGCTATAATATGAATTCTTGACGAAACAGTCCTTAGCATTAATTGCCCTCTCTTTCCTAACTTTTACTTTTGTATGTGATTTTTGTTAAGTATTTATTGAGTAGTGTGTCCTAGTATTCCTACCATGAATATTCATTCTCTTTTTGCCTGGTCTTTTCCTGTGATTATTCTTAAAGTTTTTTCTATAAGGTTTTAGCATTAGGCCCTTTTCTCAACTTGTTGCCTTCCCTGATCGATGTCATCTACTTTTTTGCCTTCTTTGGCCGCTTAATGTCCATTCTCCAGGCTTTGTTGAGTTCCAAATGCTTATTAGACATTTCTACTTTCATGTGCCCCAGGAAGCTCAGATTCTACATGTTTAATATAGGACTTCTTTCCTCAGCCACCCCCAAAATAAACAAACAAAAAATATGTTCCTTCTATATCCAAACCACCACCCTCTCAGTTATCTTACCATTTCCTGTCACTCCTGCATTGCTTTGGTCACTAAATGATACCAAGTCAACTTCTATGTGTCTAAAATTTAACCCTTCTTCATTACCATTTTTACATTCATTACCTAGTTTTAGGCCTTTATTGTTGTTAAACTGGATTATTAAATATCTTTTTAATCATGCTCCTTGGCTATAATTATTCCCTTGGCTATAATCTCTTAATATTTGAGAACTTGGAGCACCCTGTGTTTTCATTCTGAAATAAATACCATAGTCATGTTGACATAGATAGTATATAGTGTTCTAAAGATAAATGGGCTGAATCAATGTGACTTCTGGCTGCTCTGATTTTTAAAAATCAGATTTCCAGTGATAGGTATACTAAAAGCCTAGACTTCTCCTCTATGCAATTCATCCATGTAACAAAAAACTACCTGTACCCTCTAAGTATACTTTAGAAAAAAATCAGATTTCCAGGCCTCATTACAAATCTGTTCAATCAGAATCTTTAGTTTGGGGGCCTGGGAATATGTTTCTAACTAAAATCTGCAAGTGATTCTGATGTGCAGTTAAGGAGGCTGAGACATGTTGACGAAGAGTATAACGATTTTTTCTCCCTTTTTCTGATAAAAATTCTGATTGATTAGAGGTAAGTTATTTGAAGTTTTTCTGCTGTTTGGGTGTGCTTAATAATGCTATACGATGTCATTCATCTCTTTCAGCAAAGCATCCTGTTAAAAGTGGCTGAAACCATCAAAAGTTGGATTTTTTTTTCTCAATGCAGTAAGAAAGATGACTTACTTCACAAGTTGGTAAGTGTTTACTTCTTTTTGTCACTTTTCAGTTCTCCAATTTATTAGTGAGAGAATTGTTGAAGCAGAATTTGTTTTGTTCCCAATTTGAGCAGATTGATTTTTATTAGAAATTCTTTAATAACTGAGAACCTTTTAATTTGGGCTTATTGGTATTGTTCATAGCTTTTATAAGAGGTTATTAGCCACTTAGAATGGAATATTCTGGGAGTTATTAAAACCTTATTTGTTAAGATTACTAATTTACTACCACCATCTTCCTCTATTGACAGGTATTCCTCTCGGTAGGGAAGGGAATATATTCATTAGTGGGAACAGTTCAATCTCATGAGAGTGATAAATTACAGAATTTCCTACAGGCTTCAAATAGTCAACATTGAGAGTCTTTGTGATTCCTGTGGGGCTTTCTTTTTTTTCTACTTTCTGCTGTAATATAACTCCAAAGGCTGCATACTTGAACATTCTGACATCGTAACAATACAAAATCCAGGGAGTTTAGCTAGCAAATTCAAGTTATAACGTTCTCGTGGCTCCCAGAAGGAGTAATCAAGTTGTAAGTAAGCCGGTTTCAGGATCCCCTGTTGGCCTGTGACCTTAAGAATTATCATTCTTGTAAATTAATGTTTGTAAAAAGATGGTTTACAAAGTGCTTTCCCATTTTTGATTTGGTAATTTGAACAACACTGTAAGATTTAGCATATTTCACCAGTGAGAAAGCCATGGTGCAGACAATTCAGTTCGTTTTAATAACTTAATAAGTGAATTGTTCAAAAATGTTCAGCCAGAAAGTGATAGAGCCAGAATTTGAACCCAGATCTCCTGGTTCAAGAGCCCATGCTCTTTCCACTATAACATACTACCTCTCTAGCTTGAGTATTATTATTTTTTGACTGACTAAAATAACTTTTTTAGCAATCCAAATTGTCAAGTTCTCTGTTCAGGGTTTCATCTTTGTAGAAGGTGTATTGAAAAGGTCAGTGAAGTGTCTTGTCATCTACATAGAATGTCATCTTTATCCAGGTGGAGCTATCTCATTCTTCAGTGATACTAGGACTGTGATAAGGTATATGGACACATCATACATTTTTCTGTGGTTTAATCATAGTCTGCGTAGGCCTGGTCTTTTTCTTTTTTTGGAGACAGAGTCTCACTCTGTTGCCCTAGCTAGAGTACAGTGGCGTCATCACAGCTCACTGCAATTTCAAACTCCTAGGCTCAAGCAGTACTTATTCCTCAGCCTCCCAAGTAACTGGGACTACAGGTGCTGCCTGCTACTATGCCCAGCTAATTTTTTCTAGTTTTTGTAGAGACGGGGTCTCACTCTTGCTCAAGCTGGTCTCGAACTCCTGGCCTCAAGCAATCCTCCTGCCTCGGCCTCCCAGAGTGCTAGGATTATAGGTGTAAGCCACTGCGCCCAGCCAGGCCTGGTCTTTTCACTCTTGGCTCTTTGACATTGGCCACGTGTTTCATGTTATATTTCACTATAATATAGTGTCAGCTTCTGTATGCCTCCCCTTCATGCCTGTATTGTAGAGAATTGTAGGAATATGTACCTAAGAAATAGTTTACTATTAATGGAACAAGGAATTGTCCAGTTGGCTTTTGGTATGAGATTACTTGACTTTTTCCCCTTGATTGTGACATATTTAAAATTTTTGTTAGCAATACAGATATTGAAGCAGGCCCTCTTTCCTTTTATAAAAATATTGGCAATTGCTCCATGATATCTCAACATTTTATTATTATTCATTTTTATAGTACTTTTCTTAAAGATTAATAAAAATTCCTTTATAGCAACTATGATGGTATTGGTAATAGCACTTTTTAAGCACTTTTTAGCCTATAAAGTGCTTTCACACATGTTATCTCATTTGATCCTCATATCAGCTTTATGAAATGTACTGTGATTTAAAAAGTGTGTAAGATCATTGAAATATATTGACACATGAATAAGTTCCCTTCTCTATCCCTGTCAAAAAAAATAGAAATCTCTTAATTTTTTAGCTGTGCCTTCTCATACCCTTTTCATTCCATCCGGGAAGAAATCTTCCTAACATACTTGCTCATGCCTTAGATCATATTCCCTATTTAGATTATTTAGATCATAAACAGATCTCTATTATCTATCAAATGAAGTATAAATATATCACTTCAGCATTAAACAGTCTGCATAATTTGGCCCTAACCTACCTTTCCAGCTTTGTCCACCAGTATTTTCATCAACACTCAGTCTTCCTTTTCCTTCATTCCATGCTTATTCTGTATGTCCGTGTTTGTGCTATTAAGCTGTGATGGAATTCTTTCCATTTTTTCCTCAGTCCATTGGAATCTTTTCAATAAGTAGTCCTAGCTTTTCCTTAAGGCTTTCCCCAAAACTTCAGCCAATTGTATCTCTCATTTTCTGCATCAGCCTAGTAATAATTATCTGTGCTATATTCTGTAAGTTTTTATATTACATCTATGTCCAACATGTGCTTTTCTTTATTGTTTTAATTATTTCATATGTAGTAACAATACTAATAGCTAACACATAATACTTACAGTATGCCAGATACTCGTCTTAGTATCTTATAGATATTGACTTATTTAATCCTCACAACAACCCTATGAGGTAGGCACTTTTATTATCTCCATTTTGCCGATGAGGAAATTGGCACAGAGAAGTTCTTAACTTGCTTAAGTTGTGGAGCCAGAATATAAACCTAGTCACTAAGTCTTGGCACTCAGACTTGTCAATGGTGAGCCAAAGCTTACACAGTCTACCTCCCAACAGCACAGAGCTCCTATCTATGCAGATGATACCTAATATTTAAGTCGATCATGTTAATAATTAGTACTTTTTCAATTTCTTCATTTGTTTGAGACCTGGACCTATGCTTCTCAGTCCAAATAGGGCTGTTATGACATGTTTCTTAATTTGGCTGATGTCTATTTTTTCTGGTAGTTTGATCGCTATATTGTAACAGTTTCCATATTTTCTGCAGTTCTTATTTTCATAATTGAAGAATAATATATAATTCTACATTTTATTCTTTTTCTTTTTTTTTTTTTTGAGACAGAGTCTTGCTCTGTTGCCCTGGCTAGAGAGCAGTGGTGTCATCATGATTCACAGCAACCTCAAACTCCAGGGCTAAAGCTATCTTCCTGCCTTAGCCTCCCAAGTAGCTGGGACTACAGGTGCGCACTGCCATGCTTGGCTGATTTTTCTTTTTTTTTTTGTACAGTCATGGTCTCGCTCTTGCTTAGGCTAGTTTTGAACTCCTGACCTCAAGTGATATTCCCTCTTCGGCCTCCCAAAGGGCTAGGATTACAGGTGTGAGCCACTGTGCCTGGCCTACATTTTATTCTTAAGAAAGAAACTTAATTCATTAATTTAATCCAATTCAATTTAAACAGCTATAATGGTCAGAATATAGTTCAAGTTTTTCCTCTGTAAGGGCAATGTAATCACTAAGATATCACTGCTTTAGTTATTTGGCATGTCTTGGTCCCTTTCAAGCTTATTAATATGTATGAATGATTGTAGGTTGTTGATTTGTCACACTTTTGAATTAAATATTCTCAAAGGTATTAATACTACCTCTAAACATATTGGTTTGGGGGAGGTGTTATCCCAGTTTTGCACACAGGTCTGATGCCAAGGAGTGGTGTTGAAGAAAGCGAATAATTGATTAAATAGAATCTCCATCTGTGAAGAGAGATTGCTCCCATTTTACATTAATAGCTTTCCTCCACTTTGTCAGCCTTAGCCTTTGTCTAGTCAGGCTTCTTTAAACTTACCCCTATAAAGGTACAAAGAAGTCTCATAAAATGTATGATTTAAAGCTTTTGTAGCAGAAGTTTGATTTCTAATACTTGTATTTCAATATGGTTATATCTAATCCAAACCAAATATTTAATGGTAAGATCAATATGTGAAGATTCATTTCAGAGATTATTTGAAAAGCTACCATGCTCTGTCTCCTGCCCTCCTTCCCTCCATCCCTGAAACAGTAGTGTCAAGTGAGTTGTGCTGCTCTCTCTTTGTGAAAGTGGGGTGGGACGTCAAATTAAGTAAGTGTTTCCTAATGTTAGATTCGGGATTGTAAGAAGAGAGAGGAGGCAATTGTTCGAATATGAAACGTAAGAGTGTTGCAGTGGTACATGCAGAGTATGTCAATAGATAGTAAAAAAGCCACATTAGGCTAAAAGAAAGATCAACATTCCATTGAGAAGATGTTCTCTTTCTGGACTGAAGATAAAGAAACTATATCCAGTAGGCCTCATGTTAAAAATATTCTTCTTCTCTGAGAGTGACACATAACCATGATCAAGAGGTCATGCGCTTACTTCCCATTTATTTGCTGCTTAGTCTCCCAACAATATGAGTAGGTATTTGCATGGGATAAAATAATACTGGGCCATTACAAATTGAGATGAAGTGACCATTTTCATCTCTTTTGCATGGACTAGACGTTCCTTTTGGTATAATATGTCTAAATATCCTATGTAAGCAGAATTTAACCAAGGGTGCTTGCAGTGAATTACTGTGTACACTTACTTTATAAAAATACTGCTTTAAGAATTTCACTTTTTGTTTTTAATAGAAAAAAAAAGAGATCATGTGCTCAGTTTCATATATAGATCACATTCCTACTTAAATCCCCCTTATTGCATACCAGGTACTAGGGAATAAAAAAAAAAAAAACCTATTATGATCAGCTAGCGTTGGAATCTGTGGTGTAAGGATGGTTAAGAAGAGCAAACTTACTGCCTTCAAACACTAGACCTAACAGGCTTAACTTCAATTGCTAAATACCTTGTCCATTATAAGTTCTCTTTATTTTGATTATAAAATAGGATCACTCTGTTAACTAAATTTAATACAAAATAAGTAAGTTTTCTTTTGGGGCAGACTATATACAGGGAAGCAGAATCAACTACCAAAGACTTAGGATTTAAAATCAGAATTCTGGAAAGTTACTTAATATCTTTGGGCTTTGGTTTTCTCCCTATACAATGGAGAGGAGGATGATAATGTACATCACAGGTTACTGTGAGAATTAAGCTATCTGCCCTAACACTGCATCTCTCACATATATTCTACACACAGTCTACTATCATCTAATATCAGACGACTTATATTTGCCCAAATTAGAAAGGCTTTTATTTTGTCCCAACCCACTCTTCCAACTCCTTCATCTGGCCAGTTCTTGTTCACCCTTTAAGTCGTAGCTCCAGCTTCATCTCTGACTTTCTCTGACTTCGTTACAAGTTTAGTCCCTATATGCCATATTCATAGTACCCTCAGTATACCTCATTGCACTCCTTTGCACATTATATTGTGACTGTTTACTTTTCAATTCTCTCCATTAAATCACGAACTCTTTAAAAAGAGTATAGACTTGTATGTCTTGTTGATTTTTTGTGTCTTCAGTGTCAAGCATGGTGCCTGGCTTATAGAAGATATTCCTTAATAGATGAATAGAAGGAAGAAAAGAAGAAATAAATGAGCTGGTATATGTGAAGGCATTTTGTAAACTATAAAGTGCTATGCAAATGGTAGTGTGATTTTGCATTACATTCCTTAAACATGTATTTTTAAATATCTGAATGTTCATTTTTAGAAGGCCTTGATCCTGCTAGTACAATTCTTAAATATTGGCAATATTGTTAGAGTTTCAGGGACAGCATCTTTTATGTTATAGGATTATATTTTCCATGTTATATCCCAGCAATTTAATTAATTAAGCTTAACTAGACAGGTTTATTAATCTGTAATTACTTTACATCTCATTAAAAATTTATATTTTACATCTGATGTCTCAATGTCTACTTCAATCTTTATTGTTTCACATTTACAGTGAAAATAAAAACCTATCCATCATACTGAAGATAGATTGGACTGTTATTTCTTCTTCTTGGAGTCTGTTCTGAAAATATTAGTAAATACCACTAGATTTTATTAGTACATTAGGAGCTTAGCATTTAGCGCAATATTATGTATGTATTAATACCTCTCTTCTGGTATTTTAATGGCAAGGATATTGGATTTCGACTTGACTCACTACATACCATCCTGCAACAGGAAGTCTTGTTACAAGAGGATGTGGAGCTGATTGAGCTACTTGATCCCAGTATCCTGTCTGCAGGGCAACCTCAACAACAGGAAAATGGACACCTTCCAACACTTTGCTCCCTGGCAACTCCTAATATTTGGTACTGTCCAGAAAACATCTGTCCTTTGGCTGCTTACATATAGAATATTAGCAGAGGAAATCCATCATCATGCTGTCCATTGTAAAGGCATAAACATTCAATATATTTAGCGTTACAACTGAGGTAACAATATACCAGAGGTAAAAGAAAAAAAAGGTGCCTTTCTAAAGTAAATGCTATTTAAAATGAAGCTGGGAAAAAAATCCAATTGGATTATTATGTACTCCCAACTCAGTAAAATTAATTCTGTGCTTGCCAACCCAACAAACAGGTATAATATGTGCCAAAAAGAATCTCTCTTACCCATATAACTATGTACATGTAAACCTAGCCAGTTCTTTATTATTAATAGATTTTATCATAACCATATTATAGAGACACCAAGAATAGGATGGGATATAGGTGTAGATAGCTGATTCTTGCTATGTTGACTGAGAAGAGATCATAAGGAACATAATTTGATGATTCAGACTATCCTAAAACTTCAACCACTTAAAGTATTTAGTTCTAATGCAAAAGTCTTAAGTCATAATCTGACCCAAAAAACAAAAAAAAGAAGAAGAAGAATGAATGAATAGTAAAAAAGGATTACGTATAAAGAATTGTGGATGTCTTCTTCCTGTTAGAGTTTATTAAATTTGATAGATAAAGGAGGAATGAATCAAGCAGTGCGTTAAGTCACTGCTCAAACTGTTCAAGTTAAACAGGCAGTTACATTCATTGGCCTCAAGGTTCTGGATTTATGTCTTTCCTATCACACTGACAAATGCTTCCTATTGTAACAGGTGGTAAAGTATGGTGTTTTCCGAATCTGTAGTCACTCAGGTATCATCACAAGGAAGTAAAGCATCTTACCCCTCAAAAACATAAGTATTTAAGGAGCTGCTAGAAGGAACCATAGGTTTTAGGAATATACTACTTTGCTTTTAAGTTTCCTTTAGCCACAAATGTGTTCAAGCAACTATGAGACTTGTATATGCTTTTAGAGTTTGCTGTTAAAACATGAAAGTATATGATGAGATTTTACTTCATAATATTACCAGTATCATCTAAAAAGTTAGGGATTCTAAGGGAAGTTAGGGCAAATATTTGTTAAGAAACATTCTTACATGTGACTTTCTTTGTGGTAGGACTGTAACTCTCTTCAGATATTCTTGATGTTTTTCAGCTATCCTCAGATACATCCCGCCTATACTCCCCTCTTTCTTATACATGTACATTTTCCCCAAAGCCTTCATAGCTTAAGAGTTATATTTTAGTCTATTAGATTTGTAATTGACCTGAATAAAAAAATTTTGTACATATTTTTACTTTGATTAAAGCAGCGTAAAAGTACAAAGCTTGTCCATATCATGGTCTATGGTAAGTGTGTATATTCAAAATTAGTGATGATGATTATTTAAAATTAGAGGACTTTATTCAAAACAACTGCTCATCAAATATATATTATTTCTAATTAGTCTGATTTTAGGAAAACAGAATTTACAGTATCTCTGAAATGGTATTTTTACTTTTAAATGTGTACAATTGGATTTTGAAATCTATAATTTTTGCATATTAGGTTAAGGATTCCATATCTTTTATATTCAGGAAAAAACAGTCGTTTCAGAAGATAACTTTTTTTGTATTTATTATCATTTTTATTATATATGTATCATAAAAGAGAAAGGTTACAATTGCTTTGGGATCACAAAGGAGAGGTTGACTAGAATTAGAGGCCGCCATTTTAAACTTTTGGTAAAATCTTCACAGAAGAGTTGGTATCAGAGGAGAGTTTGAAGGAGTAGGATTTTGGTACTAAATATGGGATTAACACCAGACAAAAAGGAAAAGAGAGGGAGAGATATCCTGGTTTACAGTGCATGGAGGCTGGGATTCAGAATTGACTCAGGATATGGTTTGGTCCAGCTTTTTTTTTTTTTTTAAGTGACACGGTCTGTTCTGTCACCCAGGCTGAAATGCTGTGGCGCGATCATAGCCCACTGAACCCTTGAACTCGTGAGCTTAGGTGATCCTCCTGCCTCAGCCTCCCAAGTAGGTGGGACTATAGGCACTCACCACCATGCTTGGCTAACTTAAAAAAAAAAAATTTGTAGAGATGGGATCTTGCTGTGTTGCCCAGGCTGGTCTTGAGCTCCTGTCCTCAAGCAATCCTGCCGCCTCAGCCTTCCAACGTGCTGGGATTACAAGCATGAGCCACTGTACCTGGCTGGGGCAGTTTTTGAGAGGTCTTGTAGACTGACCTAATGAACTTTGATTTTATCCTATAGGCAACAGATGATATTTGTAGTTGCAGACTATATATATTTATAAAGTGTAGAGGCCTTTTGTTGGTGCTGCTCAGCATCAGTCACCACCTACAGAGAAGTTCTTTGAATTTCTTTTGTAAAATCACCTTTACAGGTTCCAGAAGACACCTATTTCTAATGTCACCTAAACTTAGCAACTTAGATTTTAATACCAAGCACCATTGTCTAGATATTATATATTTTTAAACTATTTCACATTACCTTCTAAATGTCATATTTTATAAAGTTATGCTTTCCACAGAAGCTAGCATTTTATCTATTTCATTAAACCTAAATTTATATTTGTTTTTATCGATTAAAGTAACCCACCTTTCTTTATCTAATCTGATGGATATCATTTTCTTGGTTTCTCTGTTCCTAGGGATGTCTCAATGCTATTTGCCTTCATTAGTTTGCTCATTATGTTTCCCACTTGGTGGATTGTATCTTCCTGGCTGGTATGGGGAGTGATTATATTTGTTTATCTGGTCATAAGAGCTTTGCGATTTTGGAGGACAGCCAAACTACAAGTGACCCTAAAAAAATATAATGTTCGTTTGGAAGATATGGCAGCAAATAGCCGAGCTTTTACTAACCTTGTGAGGAAAGCTTTACGTCTCATTCAAGAAACTGAAGTAATTTCCAGAGGATTTACACTGTGAGTTCATTTTTTTATTTTAATTTTTAGCTTCCGAGGGCAGACGGGATCCGGCGCGGTGAGGGCGGGGTGGCCGCAGACTATTTTCATTTTTAAATGAATCTTGTCTACTACATAGTTAAAGGAGAGTATTTATTACCACTTTCATTTCCTTGTTGCATTTATAGGAAAAAAGAGGGTTTCTTTTTAGCACTTAATAAAGTCTATTAACTGCTAAGTGAAGGATTAAATATATTATGTGCTAGATTTAATATGTAGTATGATTCTGCTTATTTACTTTGAGAAACCAAAGTACTTTAAGAATCATGATTATTTCTGTATATTACCATGTGATTATCTGAGAAAACGTATAGAGGGTGCCTAACCCTGAACCTAGCATGCAATAGTTACCCAGTAAATCCTTGCTCCCTTTACTCCCTATTAAATGCCCTCTTTCCCCAGTTTAAATGATAGATGTATTTGATATAAATTTATTTTAAAAAATCTTGACATGTATTAATAATACTCTTAAGGTAAATATTAGCAGATGTTATGACACTGATACTCTCAGAATGTCATGCAAATTTTGATGTTTTACATTGCCTTGGGAAATTAAATATTCACCAGTCTAGCTGTAAGTATATTAAGCTACAGGATATACTAGCTACTTAATCTATTATTAAAGGGAAAATTACATTTATTGAGCACCAACTATGTTCCATATGCTATGCTAGTCACTTTTTCATACACTTAAAGGCATACAATTATAAGTGGTAGAGCACTTCTATTCAAGTCCATTCCATCTGACTCTAAAGTCTATTTCCAATATACTAGGCTATCTGCTAAGCACTAACAGATGACAGTTGTATTCTGGTATATTTAATAATTTATATAACTTGTGTAACCTTTGCAATCTGTAGGTGAGAGAAAGTAAGTACATGATAAAGGGTAATCATTGCTCTTAATTAGTTGTATTTGGAAAATCATGAAAAGGGGAGTGAAGAACCTCTGATAGTCATCTCATCTTTTACTGCTCAGCTCTAGAACACTACTTATACAATCTTGACATAAATGCTGTTTCTGGAAAATTATGGAACAGAGAATTAAAATAATTTCCAGGAATCATTTTGTTCTTCACTGTGTTATGTTCTATACAACAATCCCAGGACATTAAGAGGGATTTTATAACTTCTCTTTCTGCTCAGTTCAAAGTATAATAATCCTTAGTATCTGTTGACATATTTGTCCTTCCATTAGCTGAAATCTACTTCTTGTTGATAGAGGATAGCACATTTTCAGTTGTTTGAGTATCAAATTTTAAAAGTTAAAAAGTCACAAATTAAATAATAGCTCCTTTTCATTTTATTGAGAGGACTGACTGGTTAAGCAAAGTGGCTATGTGTCCAAGTAAAATTTAGGGAAATATATAGGATTCCATGCCTTTTGTGATTTTCTAACATTTGCCCATACATATGGGATGGGCATGAAGAGGCAAAGTGGGCCAGTTAGACATGATTCACCTGCAGATTATACTTTCTACCCATTCATGTGGCAGACAGGCAGAAGAAATATTAGAAGAAACTGTGCTTTATTTGTCTTTATCTAACTGGATAATGGGTTAAAAAAAATTATGAGGAATAATCTTGAATCATAATTTTTTAGAAATATTTTCAGTTTTTTTTTTGTTTTTTGAGACAGTCTCACTGTGTTGCCCTGGCTAGAGTGCCGTGGCATCAGCCTAGCTCACAGCAACCTCACACTCCTGGGCTCAAGCGATCCTTCTGCCTCAGCCTCCCGAGTAGCTGGGACTACAGGCATGCGCCACCATGCCCGGCTAATTTTTTTTCTCTCTCTATATATGTATTTTTAGTTGTCCAGGTCATTTCTTTCTATTTTTTAGTAGAGACGGGGTCTCGCTCTTGCTCAGGCTGGTCTCGAACTCCTGACCTTGAGCGATCCACCCGCCTTGGCCTCCCAGAGTGCTAGGATTACAGGCATGAGCCACTGCGCCCAGCCCATATAATTCTTAAGTTTGGTTTAGGAT